GTGTTCCTCACGTGTGCCCCAAAGAATGAGGTGATTTGGTGAAATGCTATGCCCAAGATTACCATCCGAGTTGCCGGCGGGGAAGTGGTTCAAATAGCTTCGGCTATCACTTCCTTTTGTCCGGCCGTGATGGTCAAGCGGATTAAGGCGCCCTATAGTTACCAGTTGCGTTGCTCCTGGGAGTATGGGTTCGAGTCACTTCTGGGGTGTGAGTTTTCAGTCGCATATAGTCTTGGGGACCATTCAGGCTTGTTTGCATATATATATATATATATATATATATATATATATATATATATATATATATATATATTAAGAGGACACAAGAAAAAGTTCGCTTCCTAGAGGCTGTAGATTTCCTCGAACTCCTCCGACGCCGGGCAGGAACCGAGGATGCAGCGAGCATTCCCCCTCTGGATCGCGACACTGAGGCGCTGAAAGAGAAAACTTGCTGCTCTAGGGTCTCTTGTGGTGTCAATGAGCTTGGAACCAAGATCCTTAAGAAACCTTCTTGCACTCTCACCCCATGGGCCTAGGGTCTCAGACCCTATTGGAACGAAATTGTACCTTTGATCTAATTGCCTGTACTTGACTGACTTTTGTTTTTCTCTGTGTGTCGCTGCGGCTCCTGCCGTGCCGGCAGAGAGGGTGATGTATGTCGTTGCCAGGGTGGATACGCAAGTATAGTCCCATGCTAACTGCCTGCCACCCTTCCACGGACGCAGTGTGATTCCGTCTGGTCGGCCGGCAAAGCTAACAGAGTCACGGTTCAGTAGGTTGCGGGGCTCTCTCTCCGCTGGACACTGAGCAGAGGCAAGGCTTCTTTTAATGATGTCGTTGACTTCGTCGTGTCTAGTGTGCCAACCACCCGATTTTCCACAGTGCAGGCCATGCAATCCATATTCGTCAGCATCTGCCTCGCCGCAAATACACCTGTGAACAGTGTGGATAGGGGCAGCAAGGCGGAGAGCGACTGCAATACGGAGCTCCTGCGGATCAAGACGTGTGCCTGTCGAAGACATAGGGACTGCCAGAAGGAAGTCCCCTGCATGGGGAGCCTGCACAGCTGTGAGGCGTGCACGATCACTGGGGGTTGTTGCTGCCTCCAGCAAAGCTGTGGCTTCTTTGTCTACAATGGGGCTGTCCCAACTGGATTGTTTCTTGGCTTTCGGCATGGCTGGTCTGAGTGCTGGGTCTGTCATGGCACCCCATTTCGTGTCGCATTCCGTGTAGTGGGGGTCCTGTATCCCCGCTACATCACTCAGGGTGTCAGGTAGAATTTCCTTAACCAGGTCATCTGATGCTGAGGAGGAAGACAGGAAGGCTGGGACAGCAATTTGGGTGGCGGTGCGGACACCCAAGCCACCGAGCCTGACAGGAAGAGTGGCTTGTTTCCACTGGCATTCGTTGAGGGAGAGGTTAACAACTTTTTCCAGCATGGTCTTCAGTAGGAGGTCATACTCGTCAAGCTTTGGGTTGTTGTAAGATGGGGCACACCTCAGAAAGTAGGTTAGCCTCGGAAGGGATAGGCATTTGGTGAGGAGATAAAAAGCATCGTGGGCATCGATGTCACCTATTCTGTCTTCCATCCTCCTAAGGTCTGCGATTTTCTTGTCGAGGATCTCCTCAATGGCGTTAGACCCGAGGGGAGCTCCAAGGAGGGTGCTGTTCTCGGCCCTAATGACATGGGCTCCAGGCAAGGCAGACCTTATTCTAGCTACGATGTCTGGGTTGGAGGAGACTACTTCACACTTGGAAGGGTTCAGGACGAGACCCAGGCTTACTTCTTGCTCCCTTATTTTCCTGATATCTGACAAGAGGTGGTCTACGGTGCCAGCTATAGTGCCATCATCCAAAAACCAGATGTTGAACTCGCTGGACAAGCTTTCGGTGATTTCTTTTAAGACTAAGCAGAAAAGAAGGGGAGCAAGAGGATCACCTTGCTGAACACCTTCACATGATCTGATTTCATGTTCACCAAAGAGCAGTTTTGACTCGCCACTGTAGCACGATAGTATGAACGGGTAGAGGGGCCGGAAATGGCGATGTACGGCACAAAGTACTGCATCTCTTCTTACCATGTTGAAGGCATTCTTAAAGTCCAGTTTGAGCAGGGCCTTTTCATCAGAAATGTTGGGGATGTATGCTCGTGCTGCATGGGCAGCCGCTTCACAGCCTTGGGGGATTCCAAATCCTAGCTGGATTGGTTTCAGCAATTCAGCCGCTTGCTGGCTGACAACCCTCGTAGCAGCCTTGGCAATCAGGCGTCGGAGAGTGTTGCCAACAGCGATTGGCCTGATTCCTTCGTCCTTCTTTTTGAGAGCACAGAGGGAGGCACCAAAAAAGAGAGGCCTGATGACCTCAGGTATCTCACCAGCCAGACACATGTTGACGAACCTTGTGAGTTCCATAAGAAGATCTTGTGCAGCATCACCAACCGCAGGATTTAACATTTGCTTGATATGTTGAGCAAATATATATAATATATATATGTCGTACCTAGTAGCCAGAACGCACTTCTCAGCCTACTATGCAAGGCCAAATTTGCCTAATAAGCCAAGTTTTCCTGAATTAATATATTTTCTCTAATTTTTTTCTTATGAAATGATAAAGCTACCCATTTCATTATGTATGAGGTCAATTTTTTTTTATTGGAGTTAAAATTAACGAAGATATATGACCGAACCTAACCAACCCTACCTAACCTAACCTAACCTATCTTTATAGGTTAGGTTAGGTTAGGTTGCCGAAAAAGTTAGGTTAGGTTAGGTTAGGTAGGTTAGGTAGTCGAAATACAATTAATTCACAAAAACTTGGCTTATTAGGCAAATCGGGCCTTGAATAGTAGGCTGAGAAGTGCATTCTGGCTACTAGGTACGACATATATATATATATGATTATATATATATATATATATATATATATATATATATTATATGTATATATATATATATATATATATATATATATATATATATATATATATATATATATATGTATATATATATATATATATATATATATATATATATATATATATATATATATATATATATATATATATGTAAACGTTAATTGAAAAATTAGCTCTACAAAAATATTTTTTTTTACATTTTTATTTGGTCTGACGCCTAACAGCGTTTCGTAAGGGCTTCTTACATTCTCAAAGACTTCTTTACACATAACAAATATATCATGCTTATATGCGTTTCGGGTGAGGTGATATTATACAAATGTTTTGGGTGAGGTGGGTATAAATTGGGTATGAAAACATAAGAATGAAAATAACTACAGAAGGCCTATTAGCCCATACTTTCTCTTGCTGCTTCTATGTTGGTTCGAGGTCTTGATATGGGCAGAATATAGTTATGCGTTAATTGGCTTTTGTTAATTTTATGTTTATTGTTAATTTTAGGTGTTAATTTTTTGATGTGTAGTGCTTCGCTGATGTCGAGTCTCCTGCTATCGCTGTATTTATCAATGATTTCTGTGTTGCTTGTTAAGATTTCTCTGGTGATGGTCTGGTTGTGGGAAGAGATTATGTGTTCCTTGATGGCGCCCTGTTGTTTATGCATTGTTAATCGCCTGGAAAGAGACGTTGTTGTCTTGCCTATATACTGAGTTCTTTGGGGCTTACTGTCCCCAAGTGGGCATGTGAAGGCATAGACGACGTTGGTTTCCTTCAAATCGTTCTGTTTGGTGTCTGGGGAATTTTTCATGAGTAGGTTGGCCGTTTTTTTTTTGTGTTTGTAGTAAATTGTCAACTGCATTTTCTGATTTTCATCAGAAAATCAGAAAATTTCATCAGAAAATCAGAAAATTTCATCAGAAAATAAAAAAATACAATTGACAATTTACTACAAAAACAAACAAACTGCCAACCTACTCATGAACAACTCCCCAGACTTCATTATCTGTTGTACTCTACTGTTGTTTTTCTCCTGATGTGACTGTGCAGCAATTTAGGTTGAGTCTTTGCCTTTCTTGTGATGTCGTGATGTCTTGTGATTTTGGTCTTCATTTGGTCTTTGAACAATTTCGGTCTTAAAATGGTCTCTGAATTTATTTTAGTCTTAAACTGGACTGTGAAGAAATTCGGTCTTAAACTGTTCTCTGACTAATTTCGGTCATCAACCGAGCTCTGAAGAAATTCGGTCTTAAACGGGTGAAACAGCAGTAAAGAAACAGCAGAGAACCGTGGATGTAAAACTAAAAGTCACTGCTAATAGGTCTATTTTCAAAAATAAACTTCAATGAACATATTCTCTGAAAAAAGTTTTTTTTTTTTAAATTCGGCTTTAAACTCTTAAATAAAGTTTTATGATTAAATGAACTCTGAAATAATTTTGGTCTTAAACGAGTGTGACACAGTGAGGAATACGCCCTGACAAAATTGGTCTTAAATGGGTGAGGCACAGCAGTCATTTTTTTTACCTGAATTACTTCCATAATAAGGGGGACCTCGTAGCCTGGTGGATAGCGCGCAGGACTCGTAATTCTGTGGTGAGGGTTCGATTCCCGCACGAGGCAGAAACAAATGGGCGAAGTTTCTTTCACCCTGAATGCCCCTGTTACCTAGCAGTAAATAGGTACCTGGGAGTTAGTCAGCTGTCACGGGCTGCTTCCTGGGGGTGGAGGCCTGGTCGAGGACCGGGCCGCGGGGACACTAAAGCCCCGAAATCATCTCAAGATAGCCTCAAAATAAGAACTCTGTAAGACTCCAGCTGGTGGCTGTGGTTTTCCTGGTCGTCGTGGTGCTTCTGATGGGGGTGGTTCTTTTGAGGAGGTGCAGTTCTCTTGGTGGGTGTGGTTCTCCAAGCTTAGGTTCTCTTAGTGGGAATGGGTCTCCTGATTGGGATGCGGTTCTCCAGGTGATTGAAGGTTCTCCTAGTGGGGTGCGGTTCTCCTGGTGTGGGATAGTTCTACTGATGGGGTGCAGTTCTCCTGCTGTGGGATGGTTCCCCGCTGGGGTGCGGTTCTCCAGGGGATTGAAGGTTCTCCTAGTGGGGTGCGGTTCTCCTGGTGCGGGATAGTTCTACTGATGGGTTGCAGTTCTCCTGCTGTGGGATGGTTCCCCGCTGGGGTGCGGTTCTCCAGGGGATTGAAGGTTCTCCTAGTGGGGTGCGGTTCTCCTGGCGTAGGATGGTTCTCCTGGTGGGGTGCGGTTCTCCTGGCGTAGGATGGTTCTCCTGGTGGGGTGCGGTTCTCTTGGAGGGGTGCGGTTCTCCTGGCGTGGGGTAGTTCTCCTGGAGGAGTTCGGTTCTCCTGGAGGGGTGCGGTTCTCCTGGAGGGGTGCGGTTCTCCTGGAGGTGTGCGATTCTCCTGGCGTGGGGTGGTTCTCCTGCAGTACGGTTCTCCTGGCATGCGGTGGTTCTCCTAGAGAGGTGCGGTTTTCCTAGAGGGGTGCGGTTCTCCTGGAGGGGTGCGGTTCTCCTGGAGGGGGTGCGGTTCTCCTGGAAGGGTGCGGTTCTCCTGGCGTGGGGTGGTTCTCCTGGATGGGGTGCGGTTCTCCTGGAGGGGTGCGGTTCTCCTGGCGTCGGGTGGTTCTCCTGGCGGGGTGCGGTTCTCCTGGAGGGGTGCGGTTCTCCTGGAGGGGTGCGGTTCTCCTGGAGGGGTGCGGTTCTCCTGGAGGGGTGCGGTTCTCCTGGAGGGGTGCGGTTCTCCTGGCGGGGTGCGGTTCTCCTGGAGGGGTGCGGTTCTCCTGGAGGGGTGCGGTTCTCCTGGCGTGGAGTGGTTCTCCTGGAGGGGTGCGGTTCTCCTGGAGGGGTGCGGTTCTCCTGGCGTGGAGTGGTTCTCCTAGAGGGGTGCGGTTCTCCTGGCGTGGAGTGGTTCTCCTGGAGGGGTGCGGTTTCCTGGCGTGGAGTGGTTCTCCTGGAGGGGTGCGGTTCTCCTGGCGTGGAGTGGTTCTCCTGGAGGGGTGCGGTTCTCCTGGCGTGGAGTGGTTCTCCTGGAGGGGTGCGGTTCTCAAGGAGGGGTGCGGTTCTCCCGGCGTGGGATGGTTCTCCTGGAGGGGTGCGGTTCTCCTGGAGGGGTGCGGTTCTCCTGGCGTGGGATGGTTCTCCTGGAGGTGTGCGGTTCTCCTGGTGGGGTGCGGTTCTCCTGGAGGTGTGCGATTCTCCCGGCGTGGGATGGTTCTCCCGGCGTGGGATGGTTCTCCCGGCGTGGGATGGTTCTCCCGGCGTGGGATGGTTCTCCTGGCGTGGGGTGGTTCTCCTGGAGAGGTGCGGTTCTCCTGGAGGGGTGCGGTTCTCCTGGAGAGGTGCGGTTCTCCTGGAGAGGTGCGGTTCTCCTGGAGAGGTGCGGTTCTCCTGGAGGGGTGCGGTTCTCCTGGAGAGGTGCGGTTCTCCTGGAGAGGTGCGGTTCTCCTGGAGAGGTGCGGTTTTCCTGGAGGGGTGCGGTTCTCCTGGAGAGGTGCGGTTCTCCTGGAGAGGTGCGGTTCTCCTGGAGAGGTGCGGTTCACCCAGCAAGTGGACCCCGCAAGCTCCACTAACAAGGTATTCTGTGGTGGCCCGGGCAGCTTCCTCTGGGCTCGGGGTATATCAGTGACAAGTTGTGTACCGCTTCGCTCTTTTGTTCAGCCTCATTTGCCTCTATTTGTCCCCCAGTTCAAACTGGCTATTTTATAGAGTAGTTCGTACGCTGTGCTTTGTTGAGGCTCGCAGCACTGTGCTTTGTTGAGGCTCGCAGCACTGTGCTTTGTTGAGGCTCGCAGCACTGTGCTTTGTTGAGGCTGGCAGCACTGTGCTTTGTTGAGGCTCGCAGCACTGTGCTTTGTTGAGGCTCGCAGCACTGTGCTTTGTTGAGGCTCGCAGCACTGTGCTTTGTTGAGGCTCGCAGCACTGTGCTTTGTTGAGGTTGTCAGTACTGTGCTTTGTTGAGGCTGTCAACACTGTGCTTTGTTGAGGCTGTCAACACTGTGCTTTGTTGAGGCTGTCAACACTGTGCTTTGTTGAGGCTGTCAACACTGTGCTTTGTTGAGGCTGTCAACACTGTGCTTTGTTGAGGCTGTCAACACTGTGCTTTGTTGAGGCTGTCAACACTGTGCTTTGTTGAGGCTGTCAACACTGTGCTTTGTTGAGGCTCGCAGCACTGTGCTTTGTTGAGGCTGTCAACACTGTGCTTTGTTGAGGCTCGCAGCACTGTGCTTTGTTGAGGCTGTCAACACTGTGCTTTGTTGAGGCTGTCAACACTGTGCTTTGTTGAGGCTGTCAACACTGTGCTTTGTTGAGGCTCGCAGCACTGTGCTTTGTTGAGGCTGTCAACACTGTGCTTTGTTGAGGTTGTCAGTACTGTGCTTTGTTGAGGCTGTCAACACTGTGCTTTGTTGAGGCTCGCAGCACTGTGCTTTGTTGAGGCTCGCAGCACTGTGCTTTGTTGAGGTTGTCAGTACTGTGCTTTGTTGAGGCTCGCAGCACTGTGCTTTGTTGAGGCTCGCAGCACTGTGCTTTGTTGAGGCTGTCAACACTGTGCTTTGTTGAGGCTGTTAGCACTGTGCTTTGTTGAGGCTGTCAACACTGTGCTTTGTTGAGGCTCGCAGCACTGTGCTTTGTTGAGGCTCGCAGCACTGTGCTTTATTGAGGCTCGCAGCACTGTGCTTTGTTGAGGCTCGCAGCACTGTGCTTTGTTGAGGCTCGCAGCACTGTGCTTTGTTGAGGCTCTCAGCACTGTGCTTTGTTGAGGCTCGCAGCACTGTGCTTTGTTGAGGCTCGCAGCACTGTGCTTTGTTGAGGCTCGCAGCACTGTGCTTTGTTGAGGCTGTCAACATTGGCTATTGCGTTGCAATATTTAATGAAAACACATTTTTATTCCGCTATTTCATTTTTCGCGGCGTTTTTCATATATTTTTTCATCCGTGTGGTGTCCCGCTGTCGTGGGTTGTCTCAACACGTGACCAGTGGAGGCGGCAGACGGCCTCGGTGTGAGCCGCTGGTGTTGTCAACATGTGCGGCCATCTGCTGTGTTGTCCAGGATAACTGGCAGGGGGTGGAACTAGGGAAGGCTCTCCAGGGATATGGCAACGCCTTCTGTGGTAATTCTGGGAATTACGGTCCTCTGGCTGAATACTAAAAATTCCCCCAAACCGTGTCATCCATTTCATCACCCGCCATCCACCACACCTGGACGAGCACAACCCGCTCGTGTGTGGGTGGGTGTGACTCATCATCCACGAGCAGCGTGGACGCCACCCTGGGGTCGCGTCATCCGTGTTCATCATCCAGCACCCCTTGTCCAAGCCTCGGGGTCATCCTCCGTGGTCATCCACACCAGGTGGAGGGCGTCTGGGTGAACGTCACCTTCAATACAGCAGCTACGGTCCTGAGTGTAGATGGATGCATGTATGACTGAGGAGACCGGTCTATCGTGAGTAACCTTGATCATGTATTATGCTGTCAATCTGTATACTGACGTGACCTCAGAAGCCGGCTCGCTGCCCCAATACCACCTAACTTAGGTGAGATGGAGCTCGGCCGTGTGAGGTGCACCTGATGACACCAGTTATCAGTGTATGTGGCGGGCAAGACTGGGGACGTGAGTGTGTATAATTACACCATGGGAACACATATATGTGCAGGATGCTGCAAGACTGTTGTGTGTAAAGCTGCAGGTTTACTGTAGACCGCCAGTGTGGAGATTTTCCATATATGTTGTTTATTGATCAGACGGGTCTATAAATATATACCATTCAGGGTGAAGAACGCGTATCATCACTCCAGAGGAGGACCAGTAATCCGGCACGCCATGGTAACAAGCGGTGATCTGAGCGATGCTCTGTCTGTAATTATTGTGTTTGATTCTGATCACCACTAGAGTTGTGAGGGATTTATCGTGAGGGGCCTCGTAGCCTGGTGGATAGCGCGCAGGACTCGTAATTCTGTGGCGCGGGTTCGATTCCCGCACGAGGCAGAAACAAATGGGCAAAGTTTCTCTCACCCTGAATGCCCCTGTTACCTAGCAGTAAATAGGTACCTGGGCGTTAGTCAGCTGTCACGGGCTGCTTCCTGGGGGTGGAGGCCTGGTCGAGGAACTGGCCGCGGGGACACTAAAAAGCCCCGAAATCATCTCAAGATAACTCAAGATAACTCAAGATAACTCAAGGGGTAATTAGCATGAGTTAATACATATCGTGCTAGGTATCATATCCATGTGTGTGTCTCATTGTAGGCGGACCTGTATCTGGCACACCAAGGAAAGGAGGTGATCTGTGTGTTACTCTGTCTGTAATTACTGTGTCCTGAAGTGCTGTAATGTGTACATGTGGGAGTGTACATTAACAGTACTATGTTGTGTGGGGAGTCAGTATGTGGGATTACTGACATAATGTGTTGGGAAGTCATTAACATATGAGTATGTTAATGACACCTGTCTTGTGTGTGATTTACGCAGTGAATTAATATATGTATATGTATATATATTGCTGCCCTGTGTACTGTGTATGCTTAGTGGGATCTTTAAAAAGTTATTAGGGATGTAGTAAGTTAATTACGGGGTAATTAACTTCCACAAGGGGAATCACATGATTTTGACGAGAGCTGTCGAGAGGGTGACAGTGTGTTTGGTTAATGAAATTCGCTACGAACTAATTAATTGTCCGAGGGGCAATTAATCGCTTACTGTTGCTAATTAGGGGCAATTAACGCCAGCTATCTAAAGGGCAACAGCCTGACTGAGTTAGCGTATTTTCATTGTTGAAATAATTTTCTGTCCGTGGGACAGTTAATTACTTACTCTAGCTAATTAGGGTAATTATAATCCATCAAAGTGATTCCGCACAGTTTCCACATGGCAGAGTACAACAAGGGTATTGTTGGGCAGTGATAACTTTATATACATTGATATTGTTGCTGAGTGTGGAGACATTACTGAGTGTGACGATCACAGTGTGACGATCACATTTATTAACGTACTGCAGGATGGTGCAAGTATTGGGCAGTGATGTACAGGTGTACTCACTGAGAGACGTGTCCTGTGTGTCCTGTGTTTTGCTGGTCTGCGAGACAAGGTCTGGGTGTAGCTCTTGTTGGGGCTCTTGAAGGATTCAGTGAGAGTTAATGAGGGTCATTAACGTCACCCAAGGGGGTTGTACATTGCTTGATGACGGAACTGTCGTGTTGAGTTTACTGTAATACGTTGGGGGCAATTATCTGTCTGTGGGACAGCTAATTGATCGTTACCCGTCTGTAGGACGGCTAACTAGTGGCTCAAGTTAATTAGGGAAATTAATGTCAGGGTTTTGACTGACTGTCGGAAGGAAGAAATCTAATTGAACTAGCATAATTCGTTGGATTAATTATACCTGTCTGTGGAACAGTTAATTAGGCACTAAAGTTAATTATGGGTAATTAACACCTCTACCGTGAATTCTCAGTGTTTGATGAGACCTGCTTAGACAGTGTGAAGTGTAACGTATTCGAGTAGAGTTAATTATCTGTCTGTAGGGAAGGTAATTGATTGCTCAAAGTTATTTAGGGAAATTAACCCTCATTAAAGTAAATTTGACATAGGCTGGTGAGGAACTGTCCAGAGGGTGACAGTAGTGTGTTAATGTAACTCGTTGGGTTTAATTAGCTGTCCGTTTGACAGTAATTAATAATTACTCACTGAATGCTTGATGGGTCAAGTGTGGTGTAATTAAGGGGGAGCGAGTTAGTGTGTGTTGATCGTTGCCTGTCTGAGAGACACGATTGTGTTTAACATAAATTAACTGTTGCTGACTGCTGTTGACAGTCAATTACCGTAATTAATCATTGTGGATCAATTAGTGTAATTTGTTATATTATTGATTTGTTTTGTTGTGTTTAAGAGACAAGTGTCAGAGGGTCACGGGAGCCTTGTCTTATATCCTGTCTTGTTATTGTTTACATTGTAACTGTATTGTTGAGTGCTGCAAGAGTTTCCTTATTGCAATTAGTGTCCTCAGTGAACACTCAGAGTTGTTCAGTTTGTTCATTTATTCAGCCCGAGGCGTCAACAGAATGAAGCCAGTTGGTATACTTGAGAGCGGCATGTGCCAGGAGTCAGGGCTGCACTCAGGCTGTTCAACAGCTGTCTGTTAATGTGTCACTGGAGGACATTAATGTAACGTAAAGTCGTGGTTTAAGAATTAGTTCTTCATTGAATAATTTTTTAATGTTACAGAAGAACGGTCGTTATGTCAATACTTCCCATAATATAGCAACACATATTTATTTTGCATAGTATTAAATTCATGTGAAATTTTATTGAAGGTCTGATTCTGGGATTCAAAACCTGATTCAAAGCGCCACACATCAAACAAAAAATTTGGTGTGAGAATCCGTGAGCTGCCATTAATAGTGCTGTCACTCAAGGAGGTCAACGTCAGAGTGGAGAGGGATTTCAACCTAGTTGAAGGTCCGGCGGTTGTTCCCGCCCTTCTGTGGTCTCTTGTTTAAGGTAAAATCTGCTTATGTAGTCCTGTCTGCTTGAGGTCCACCTCCTAGGAGGGGTAAACATAGAAATATCTCACATGGTGTTTCATTGTTGTGTTGTGGTGTTCCATCACTGTGTTGTGGTGTTCCATCACTGTGTTGTGGTGTTCCATCACTGTGTTGTGGTGTTCCATCACTGTGTTGTGGTGTTCCATCACTGTGTTGTGGTGTTCCATCACTGTGTTGTGGTGTTCCATCACTGTGTTGTGGTGTTCCATCACTGTGTTGTGGTGTTCCATCACTGTGTTGTGGTGTTCCATCACTGTGTTGTGGTGTTCCATCACTGTGTTGTGGTGTTCCATCACTGTGTTGTGGTGTTCCATCACTGTGTTGTGGTGTTCTGTTGCTGTGTTGTGGTGTTCCACACTGTGTTGTGGTGTTCCACACTGTGTTGTGGTGTTCCATCACTGTGTTGTGGTGTTCCATCACTGTGTTGTGGTGTTCCATCACTGTGTTGTGGTGTTCCATCACTGTGTTGTGGTGTTCCATCACTGTGTTGTGGTGTTCCATCACTGTGTTGTGGTGTTCCATCACTGTGTTGTGGTGTTCCACACTGTGTTGTGGTGTTCCATCACTGTGTTGTGGTGTTCCATCACTGTGTTGTGGTGTTCCATCACTGTGTTGTGGTGTTCTGTTGCTGTGTTGTGGTGTTCCATCACTGTGTTGTGGTGTTCCACACTGTGTTGTGGTGTTCCATCACTGTGTTGTGGTGTTCCATCACTGTGTTGTGGTGTTCCACACTGTGTTGTGGTGTTCCATCACTGTGTTGTGGTGTTCCATCACTGTGTTGTGGTGTTCCATCACTGTGTTGTGGTGTTCCATCACTGTGTTGTGGTGTTCCATCACTGTGTTGTGGTGTTCCATCACTGTGTTGTGGTGTTCCATCACTGTGTTGTGGTGTTCCATCACTGTGTTGTGGTGTTCCATCACTGTGTTGTGGTGTTCCATCACTGTGTTGTGGTGTTCCATCACTGTGTTGTGGTGTTCCATCACTGTGTTGTGGTGTTCCATCACTGTGTTGTGGTGTTCCATCACTGTGTTGTGGTGTTCCATCACTGTGTTGTGGTGTTCCATCACTGTGTTGTGGTGTTCCATCACTGTGTTGTGGTGTTCCATCACTGTGTTGTGGTGTTCCATCACTGTGTTGTGGTGTTCCATCACTGTGTTGTGGTGTTCCATCACTGTGTTGTGGTGTTCCATCACTGTGTTGTGGTGTTCCATCACTGTGTTGTGGTGTTCCATCACTGTGTTGTGGTGTTCCATCACTGTGTTGTGGTGTTCCATCACTGTGTTGTGGTGTTCCATCACTGTGTTGTGGTGT